TTTTTTTTTTTTTTTGGATTTCAACTTTTTTCCTTTTTGTTATATTAAAGTCTTAGAAACTTTTATTAAATAAACATCATTTATTTTTCTGCTTTTCGAATACAGTTTACGTAAATAATCCCATCAAAAAAAAATCCATCATAAAAGTATTTTTGTGTGAAAATGATTTTTATCAGTTAAAAAAAATGACTGTTCCTCAGTTGTAGCATCATTTGCACAATTTGTAAAAAATTAATTAAAAAAGAAAATTAGTGCACTTGGTTGCAGTGTCAATGAAGAGCTTGATATGAAATATGGGACATGATGTATGAAGGAATCAATGTTAAATCAATAAAAAAATATTATAGTCCTTTGGTTTTGGCATCATTTTGCGTAATTTTTAAAAACAATTCTATAAATAAAACAGTGCATTTCTGAACTAGTGCATTACAGTGAAGAGCTTGAGATGAAATATGTGACCCTGGACAACAAAACCAGTCATAAGGGTCAATTTTTTTAAATTGAGATTTATACATCGTCTGAAAGCTGAATAAATATGCTTTCCATTGATGTATGGTTTGTTAGGATAGGACAATATTTGGCCGAGATACAACTATTTGAAAATCTGGAATCTGAGGGTGCAAAAAAATCAAAATATTGAGAAAATTGCCTTTAAAGTTGTACAAATGAAGTTCTCAGCAATGCATATTACTAATCAAAAATTTAGTTTTGATATATTTACGGTAGGAAATTTGTCAAATATCTTCATGGAACATGATCTTTACTTAATATCCTAATGATTTTTAGCATAAAAGAAAAATCGATAATTTTGACCCATACAATGTTTTTTTGGCTATTGCTACAAATATACCCCAGCGACTTAAGACTGGTTTTGTGGTCCAGGGTCACATATGAGACATGATGTGTGAAGAAAACACTAAAATCAATCAATAAATATTACAGAAGCCAAATTGTCAAATTATAAAAGTGTGAAAATATTATTCAATTTATAAGATAAATAAAATAGTAACTTAAAATTTTGCCTTAGTAAGACAACAAACGGAGTCAGCCTTTTTATTTTATTTCAATATATTAAAAATATCAATTCCATCACAGAATTCTGTTAAACATAATCTGTAACTTGATATGTAAAGGGATATCATGAAAAAATGTACAAGAAAACTTTTACTTAGTCCCGTGATGTTTGCATATCCACTGTTGGACATTGTTAGTAGACAAATTAAACTAATAATAGTTTAAAAATTTATTTTAAGAGTGTAAAAGCGCCCAAGAAAAACCCTAGAGGTATGTGTGTGTAGCACTTGGCAAGAGGTTTCTTAGGGTTTCATTGTGTGGATTACAGTAGAGCTGTGTGCATCTGTTATGGAAAGGGAGCTCAGTATTTCTCTCAAAGACTATGTGTTCAGGTGCAAGTGTTTTTATGCGACAGTGAGAAAGAGACTGTATGAATGTGTGTTTTGGAAAGCCCAGGCTTCTTTCCTGGCCAGAGTGCTGCCCCCGTAGTGCCCCCCAGTGCCCAGACTCCGTCACTGAATCTGTCTCCTTTTTTTCTTTCTTTCTCTCGGCTCGGTCTATGTTTATGCCGAATTCATGAGCACGATTTTTCCCTTGCTTTTTGCCCTGATTCACAAACCACAGCACTTCCAAAAAGCGCTGAATTCTTTGGCTCAGCTCATTTTTCAAAAACCACATTTAAACAACAAGCCGCCAGCACCACCCACTCATAAAAATCACTCAAGGGAGAAGGAACAAAAAATGGAAAGGGACAACCCAGCATTCACTAGTGCAGTGATGAAGATAGGTTTTGTCTTATTGAAACACAGAGCGCGATGCCAAAAAAATCGGTCTTGTTTTCAAGTGCAAATATCTAAACATCCTTAATAAAAGATAAATGTTTTTGAGAAGCAAAACTGCTTAATAAATCAGAATTTAGTGAGCTTTGTGGTTTCATTTTTGACAAACACCTTTGGAATGGAAGCAAAACAATTTGGACAAACAACTCTTCCTTTCACTCCTTCTCTTCCAGTTCCTCATCTTCTCCACTGGAGCCCACGTTGGGGCCTCGGGTCTGTGAGGGGCCGACTGTAGTCGTGCAGGGCTCAGAGACTGGCAGCACAAACAGAGAAGCTCTTTCTTGTGGCGTTTGGGTGATTTAAATCATATGGAATAGCCTGGAAACACCACAAACGTCTGGACACCTTTCAAAACGGAGCAGACAAGAGCGCTCTCTTTGTCCCTCCCTCTGTTTCTCTTCTCCTGCCTCAACCGAACTTTTTCCTAACCGCTTTATTATTTTCCTCCCTCCCCTTCGTTTCTTTTTTTGCTCTCTTTCTTTTCCTCTCTCCGTTTTTACATATCACCCCATCGTTTTCCCTCAGACTCCACCCTCCTCTCAAACACACAAGCGCTCTTATGCACTGGCTGTTGGGTTGTTGTTAAACTGATGTGAGAATCTCGCAGATTGCTGTTTGTGAGACGTTAGGGGTTCTTAAAAGATTAGTTCATCCGGAAATTAGCATTCTGTTATCATTTATTCATGCTCATGTCGTTCCACGCCTTCCTTTTTATTTTGAACAATGTACTAGTCACATTTTCCGTGCAATTTGAATGAATGGAACTGGAGCAAAAGTTTGATTTGTGCAGTATATTTCAAATCTTCTGAAGCCGTATGATAGCTTTGTGTGAGGAACAGACAGATAATTTCTTCTTTAAAAGCCTCGACATCTGCTTCATGTCCTTGATGAATGAACGAGGGAACTAGGTGAACAAATCATTCTTCTGAGTTGTTCTATTCAATGAATCGGCTGAGCTGATTCACAAAACCAGTCTGAATGATTCATTCTTGAATTGGTCTGGTCCTTTTAACCCACTTAGTCAGTGATCCAGTCGCAAGTTTTTTTCATATTCACGTGGAAGATTATGAGTGAATAACGAAGAATGAAAGTAATTCGGCTTTGGAATTGCTTGAGAGTGAGTAAATGTGCGGTTTGCACATGAGTTTGCACTCACTGAACTGTTTTACTACTGTTTAGAATTCTTTGTACAAATGCTTAACTTATTATATGTGTTTCCTCCTGAAGGTACGTCCTGTCGTATGAGTGAAAGCCGAGCCGTGACGCAGATCTGAGAAGTTTGCCAACATTGTCACACAGGCCGTTGAAGCGCACGACAGGCCCAACCAGCCTTTGGCAATCAACCGTCGCCATGGCAACCAATAGGGAACGGCAGGTGGGTCACATGACCGGCTTCCCACCTGCTGTCTACCCCTTTGCCTTCAATTCCATGCGGAGCCACTCCCCCTTCGACCTGCTGACCAATAGTAGCCTGTTTGGACGGTTTGGGGCGGACCTTCCCAAAGAGATGGCAGCGTTGTGTGAGTATTGAACCTGTTCTGCATTCGTTTATTAGCAGAATTAGCATTCGATTCTTACAAAAGATCTTGTTTTGGGGTGTTTCTTCTGCCACTATCAGGGTTTTTTTATGTCTTGATTTTTTTGTGTTTTGAAGATATTGGAAGGTTGAATTTTTATGCAGTTTACCCTGAATTTTTACGTAGTATAGTGTTTATCTTTTTTTTTTATTTAAAAAAAAAAAAAAAATAATAAAAGTAAAAAAAACTTTTAAAATAGTGTGCTAAATTATCTGTAATCAGATTTATGGCTAATATTGTATCCAGTTCAATCAGACTATAATTGTGGGATATGTGCAGTATGCATTGTTGGATGCTGCACATTTTGGTAAAAGTAGTAGGCCATGCATGCAGTGCGTAAAGTATACATAGTATGAGTAGTATTATATTTAAGAATCTTGCTTGTTTTGCTGTGAATTTGTTGGAGGAGAAAGAAAACGCTGACTCTTTTACTGTAGTGTTCTTGAGTCTTTCAAGTGTTTGCTAGCTAGCTAGTCTTGTTCCCTGGAAAAAGGGCATTTCTTACAGGTGTTTGACCTCAGAGAGAGGGAAAAAGTCCTGCATTTTAGCTTTAGTGTCACAGGGGGCGCTGTTTTACATCCGACAGCAGAAGGAAAGTGTATGTGAGACAGGATAGAGAAACAACAGATGGCTGAGAGAGAGGAAAAGAGCCATTTAACAGACATTTTATTCTGCAGAAATACTTTTTGCCGGTTTAATATATCACGTTTTTACATTTTATAGCATTCCAGAAAAATAGCGGGTTTCTCGAACCAGCTGTCACAGGTTTTCATCGAGATATTCTTTTTTAGGTGAGGTGTATAGTACATTCACTGGCTCTTTAGATTCAGAATGTGTTGCAAGAATGCGAGCCGTCTGTGGATTTTTCTTGTTTAGACAGTAGCTTAGGGGAAAACACAAGCCACAGACATCTGAAATCTCATCTCAAGTCCTGAGGGGAGAATCTGTGATGGGTTTGGATGGCTACAACAAAGCAGAAGACTATGTGTTCCCCCTCCTCAAAACACACACACGCACGCACAGATATACACTACTCGCCATCTCCTGTTGTGCCGCTTTTACTCCTCTGCAAGTCTGAACAACACTCCAGCCTTTTAGATGTCAATCATACCCACCCCCCTACAGCTGCCCACCTAATCCAATAGGTATTTACAGAGAGAGGCAGAAAGAGAGAGTGAGGGAGGGGTGATGGAAGCACCTGGGGATGATGTCCTGGTGCGGTGGAATCCAAGAACACACCCTGCTGTGAAAACACACTGACGGATACACAATAAACAAGTCTCCTCTGTCTCCTGGTCCTGAAAATGAGAAACATATTTCGCCTCGCATATGCAGACGGCCTGAATACGAAATTGCCTTTGTGGAAAACGTGTTGTGAAAGTCACATGAATGTTTGAAAATCTGGGAAATGATCGGAGGAGTTTGACGAGGCAGATGTTGATTAGCATTGTCAGCTGTGGCTTTAACTTTAACATCATTTTGAAGTCAGCGTGAAATTAGAATTCATCTTATTTACATTTTTGTTTTGCTTCCAGCTTTTTTTTCCTCGTCGTTTTTAGTCAAAATTATAAAACATGCTCTTCCTCTGAAACTCTTTTCCTTTCCGCACGACCTATTGGAGAATGTTAACAAATCGTCAAATGGCTATTTAGGCATTGTTTTAGCAAATTCATGTTCAATCTGGCGCTATTATGAGTTACAATACTGTTACAAGGGGTGGGGTCAGAAAGATTTTTTCCCCCAAATATTTCCCCAACATGGATGTATAAAATTAATCAAAAGTGACATTAAAGACATTTATAGCAAACATTTCTATTTTAAACAAATGCTATTCTTTTTGAACTTTCTATTCATCAGATAATCCTGAAAAAATATGTAGCATGGTGTTCAATATACATAATAATCAGAAATGTTTCTTGAGTAGCTAATGAGCATATTAGAATGATTTCTGAAGGATCATGTGACACTGAAGACTGGAGTAATGATGCTGAAAATTTAGCTTTGCATCACAGGAATAAATTACATTTTAAAATATATTAAAATAGAAAGCAGTTATTTTAAATGGTAATAATATTTCACAATATTACCGTTTTTACTGTATCTGTGATCAAATAAATGCAGCCTCGGTGAGCATAAGACTCCAAATTTTTGAATGGCATTGTATAACATCCACTTTTCATGGTGCAATCAAGTCCCACCCTTTAAAAAAAAAAATCCTGTTTCACATTGAAATCGGTAAAATTAATTGCAAATGGTAATTCATGTTGACTTTTAAAAGTCAAATTGAGCTCATTTTTTAAACTGGAAACAATTTCTGCCTCGCTCTGGCTGTTTGCATATCCAAAAGCACGTCGGTCCCTAAGCAATGCCAGGAATTGGGTGAGAGTCAAGACCACAGAGGCCCTAATTTGCTTTTGGGGACGCCGTTTGACATTCTTTTTAGACAGGCATGTCACAAGTTGTTTTACTGAGCCATTCGCATCCCTGGCTCTGAGACGAGAGAAAAGAAAGGCAGACGAGCAACCGGCCCGGTGCTGTTTTTGCTTTTTTTGCGGGAGTTGGTTTAACAGGCCTCTTCATTGTTGTCAGAGCTGTCTGTCGGCTAGACTGCGAAAATTCCCAGCTCATAAAGGTACAAAAAAATACCGAAGGCCCCGTCTTTAAGTGTGTCTGTGTTGTTAGTCCTGCATTCTTCCCTTGACTGGTGTGTACAATTTCCCAGAGAAGACAGTCATGCTTTGGCCTACTTCGGATAGGTGTCTTCAAGCAGATATATGCTGACAGGTTCAATCACCTTCCAGAGATGTGCAGTTGGCATAGAGCTCTTAAAAATATTGATTTCACACACTGACAGCTGACACTATCACTTTTTGTTTTTTGTTTTTTTTTAAAAAGCCACTTTTCACAATTTTCTCAAATTCTGTTGCATCGTTTGCAGTAACACAGTGATAAAGTGAGTGATGTATGTACATTTAGATTTATGCATTTGACAGATGCTTTTATACAAAGTAACTTGCATTGCATTTAAAGGTGCTGTATGTAGGATTGACACCGAGTGGTTGAACTAGGTATTGCAGTCCAAATTCAAAATATTGGAGAGGGTTTTTTTCACCCGGCCCCTCCTCCTCAGACTTGAGGCACACGCAGGTTGCCAGATTGATGACACCAACAGGAACGAGCGCACTTGACGATGAATGAAATGAAATACGCT